TCAGGACTACTTGAATCAGATCAAGCTCTAATGTCAAATTCTCAGACAGCTGAGATGGTCCAATCTTACAGCTTGTACCCTCATCTTTTCTACAAAGATTTTGCTGCATCGATGGTAAAATTAGGGAATGTTGGGGTCCTCACGGGACGAACTGGACAAATTAGGGAAATATGTGGCTCTGTAAGTAATAGAATGTTTATGTCAAGTATGTTTAGTCTAAGTGTTAGACAAAGTTTATCAACTGTGCTTGCTTCAGTATGCATGTTTTTACTAGTAATAGTTTAACTCGACATCAAATGGTGTCGTACAAGTAGAGATTTGTGGTTACTACTCATTTCGGTCCAAAATAAATGAATTAAGAGCAGGTAATTTGTTAATATCACCATTTGCTTCTGAAAAATTTATTCGATTTTGATGTTTGACACTACGACGATGGCTAATTTCCTGAAAAACCACGAGAGCGATAACAAGAAGACTAAATAGGGACACGTGGCACAATCTTATTCGCCGGTCCGATATTTAATAAATGTCGGATCGGTCGATACGATTATGATATGTGTATGTCCGTTAGTATAAAGGGTATATATATATGCTCTAGTTTTTGGACAGCAGGAGCATCGATATCCCAAAAGTATGACGGAGGGCGACTGCATACCATTTACGATAGTTCAGGTATATTAGTCCTTTTTCCCTTTTATTTAATACTAGTTTCTGGGTACGCGCGCCGCGCGTGTAGCCAAGTTTACCAATTACTATAAACTTATAGTATATGACAATAATTGTGCTCCACATAAGTCCTTAGATATCTTATTATAATGTTTGACTTGTAAATGTTAAATATTTATAGAATTTATGTTGCAGTAAAAGTATAAATGATGGTGGATATAGGAAGAATTTTTACCAGTTAGTGTTACACATATAATTGTTAGAGTAAGAGTGTTTGTTTGGAATTAAAATAGTTATCTAATTCTATATGGATCATTGATAATGAACTTTATACTTTTAGATCTCTTTATTATTAATTAAAGAGGCAATATATTAATTCATGAGATAATGAACTAATTATAAATGTATGTATAGTCATTCAACATATTTGCCAAATATTTCATATTATCCATGTAAAACAATCTGGCATATAATAAAATATCTAATCTTTCATTGAGATAATTTTTAATTTCATTTGGAAATAAGAAATGTAATATTGTACGTGTTCCACGCCAATAATTATATAAAGTCTAATAAGTAATATCTATTTAGTTGTAATCTAGACACAATTTTTTTATAAAAGCAAAGAACATATTTAACTAAAAAGGAATAAGAAAATAATACATTATAAAAGAACATTTATAAAACTAATACAAAAATCACTTACAAATGGTCATCACTATAAGCACTTTACATAAAATAGTACAAATAATTCATTATTTTGCTGTAATTCATACAACATGATTAAAAAAATATAATTTTCTTCCAAACATTCTTTACAATTAATTATCAATCAACCATAACGCCTCTGATCCAAATACAACACTAATGTTATTGCCCTTAACATTTCTACAAAGATTGATGCCAACTTTTCTTTTGCGGTTTATGACTATGACCAGAAAGGATACCAAAAAAGAAGAAAGAAATGATATACCAAAGATGAGAAAATAGATCTTAATTTATAAGAGAGTATTGCCATTAACATACTTTAATAAGAAGATCAGACATGAGATTTGTAAATTCATTTCCCTTTCTACGTGACTTTAGATAGGAAAAACTTAGGTGAGGGGAGGTGAAAGGAAAAAAATAAAAGAGGTCCATCAGTTTCCTACGTAATTATGTAACGTTTGGTCTTCACCTTAATTCATTGAACAATTTAATTAGGAGTCTTTTTGTCTTCTTGATAATAATTACTTATAACAATTTAATATTAATTCACCATACAACATGAATAAATTGTAACCGAAAGAATTTGATAAATTTGATATTGGCTTAATGTGTAACTCTCTCTTGTATTAATTAAAATTTACTATTTAATATTTAATTAAAAATTTATTAGATGATTAATAGTATTTGTATTTGATATAGGGACAAAATGGTAATTTAACTTTTGCCTAACATTCTTCCCACTTTTAGTATAAATATGAAATATGATAATATAATAATAATATATAATATGATATATGATATGATGATGATATGATGATTAAATTATAGTATACATATAGATTATAGATGATAAATATTACTCTTAAATTAGATATTTAATTAGGAATTAATCAAAGGAAGTGCAAAAGTCGTTAACATTTTTATTAAAATGATACAATTTAATATTTGAATTAAATAGTTAAATGTTTTTATAACATTTTAATTTATAGTAGGGGTAAAATCGCAATTCAACTTTTAACTTTTTTTGTTCCCACTTATAGTAATACTAGTCTCTAGACACGTGAGTTGCATGAGTGTCTTGTGCTAATTAGTACAAAAAAAATTAAATGATATAGATGCTACTAAAACTTGCAAGTAATATTGAGCAACTAAATTGTGAAAGAGAAGTATAATTGTTTGTAGTTATACACAATCAATTGAATTGGTATATGTGATATTTTTCTTATATAGTTCTAATATATCTTATACTTAGTACAACATGTCCCTTATTGTTTTTTTTAATATTTCAACAACAAATAGTTTATATGTGACATAAGTAATGTTGATTATGTTTGCAAGTGTTTCACACATCTTAAAGTTTGTATCTTGTGTAAGAAACTGTAACCTCCTTTTTATAGACACATGCATATCAAGAAGTTGTTGCCGAATAAAAGTCGTATATTAATATTCCCTGTTGACACCCAATTTTGACCGACCTTTAAATCTTTTGGAAATGCTATTTGATTAGATACGTATTTTCAAAATATATTTCAAATTTAAAATTTTAGTCCATTTTGTTTTAGTACGCATGCTTTATAAAAATTATTGTAAATATTATTAAATTATTCACTTAAATTATTTTTATCGACATTTAAACTCGAAATAATAATTTTATTCAAATGTTTAAAATTTAAGTGATTTTAATTATATAAAAATATTATAATATTTGTAGTATCTTAATTGAATAGCATTTCTTTAAGTTCTCTAAATCATTTAAATTTTAACCTATTTTACTCTAATTTCTTTCAATTCTAGCCTATCCAATTCTATTTGTATTTCATTTATTGCCACCCTTTCATTTCAATTCTAGCCAATTCCATTTCAATTTTGGCCAATCAAATCCATTCCAACTCTCATCTCATCCGTCCATTCCTTTAAATTAAATCCTAGCCGTTCATCTAAATTAATCCTACGGTTCAAATCGAATCATCAAATCCTTCCTTATTTCAATACTAAAATCCCCTCTTCACACCAGCGCCGCCCCACTCTTACTCCTCTCCATTTTGCTCCGGCAAGAGCAGCTGCCAGACCACCGCCCAGCCTCCACCCCTCTCTTCCGTTCTCCTCCCTTTTCCGGCTCTCTTTCCCCGTCGCTCCCATTCTCTCTCTCTCTCTCCTCCTTGCTCCCTCTCGTCTCTCCAGTGAACGGCAGCGGCACCCAGCTGCTCCGACAATCACCGGCGAGCTCCGGACAGCAGCAGCTCGGGCGAAGGCGAACAACTGGCGAGATCTTTCTCTCTCCCTCGTCTCAGCTCCTCCATTCTCCAGCGAGCAAACTAGTAGCAGCAACGAAACGAACCAGCAGCGAGCAGCTCCGACTAAGCGAGAAGCTCCGGCGAGGCTCGAGATTCTGGAATTTTGCACAAAACGGGTTTCGACAGATCCGTCCAGGTTTGTCTTTGTTTAATTATTATTTGTCTTCTAAAAATAGCTTAAATTCGACTATGATTTTCTGCTATATTTTATGAATGTATACTCAAAATCGATAATAGTTGTGAACCTTGTTTAAGCAAGAATCTTGTGTGAAGCATGAACAATTGAGATTTTTTTTTTAGATTCATGTGCGTGTTATCATAATATATGTGGCGTGTTTAAATTAGATTCAGGTTAGTTCATGGCTTTGCTATCGATTTTTTTTTATCATCATGCTTAAATACCTTTGAATTGATTATGTTTATTCATGATGTGAACTTGATTATGTTCGTGATTATGAACTATTTTGGCTCGAGTCTGATTCTGGGAATAATCAATATATTGCTTCTATGATTTCAGATTCTTAACAGTTGGTATTTAATTACTTATGGTAATTTTAGTATGCTAATTGATTCTCATTATTAATTTAGGAAGATTGTTACTTGGTACTTATCTTATTAGTGAGCGAATTCCCTCTTTTCTCCAATCATTGGTGCTGCCTTCCTTTTGAAAATGATCTGAGTGAGTTTTACATTGTTGAGGGTACTTTCGATTTAATCTTTCCTTCACCATTTTTGTATAAGTTGAAGCTTTGACACTAAACCCATCAGCTTTCTTCCCCAAAATATCCCTCCAAAAACCCTATCTGTAAAACCCATCAAACCCAGAAGGCAATTGCAATCTCTCAACAAGGATAAGTCGGTAAGGGTTCGACTAGTTTTTTGTCTTTTTTTTCTTTCATCAAATCTCTATATTAAGCCCAGAATCTGTATCCTGCTGTCTGTGTCATTTTTCAAACCAAATTGATTTTACATTTTATAAAAATTCATTTTTTTCATCCATGTTGGATATATATATATATATCTATTTTAAATGTCTATTGTATAAATCGAATGGGTAGGTTGAGAATTGGGATGCTTTGTTACTGATTGGAGGAATAATTGAGGCTTGTTCAAGTGGTTGAGCACCTCCACCATCGGTAATTGAGGGTTTGAGTTACTTGGGTGAGTAAGTGAGAATACTATTGATCCTCCGTCGGTGGGGTGGGAAAAAAATCAGTAATCATGTAATAGAGATGTTTCTGACCCATAACTTTGCTGTGGAAAGTAATGTCTTTGCTGTGATTCTTTTGGTGTTGTAGAGGAATAATATTTCTTTAATCTCGTGCAGTTTTTTCTCTAATTCAATGGAGCTAGAGGATAGCGTTTTAAATTTCTCTGATGAAGACGAGAGCTTTGAGGATGATGAAGATGTTAAAATGAATGATATTGAGGAAGGAGAACTGGTTGAGAAGATTTCCAAGACTGGATTAGAGGAAACTGGTGGTGCATGTGCCAACTCTGAAACTCCTCTTCCAGGCAAAAAAAATCGGAGACGCAGGAAGAACAAGGGGAAGAACAAACGAAAGAGAGTCTCTTCAGGTCCAATCACAGACATTAACAGGTTTGTTATGCTAATCATAGTTGTTATATTATGATAACCCAATGCGTACTACTTTTATTTCCATAGTGAAAGCGTTATTGTGCATGGACTAGGGGCATACAGTTGGATATAATTAACAAGATGATTGCCTTAGAGTAATCAAGGGAAGATAGTTGTCTTGGATACCATATGACTGATGCATAGGTTTATTTACTTTGTTACCCAGTTAATATTCGTTCCTTTGGTTTGGGAAGTGAACTCATGGATTTTATATTGCCATCTACCACTCTGTTGCTGTTGTGTCAAAGGTTAACACTTTGGTCTAAGTTGCTTCAGTTTGTATACCCTTGTCTGTTACACAAATTTGCATCTTTTTCTTTGTTGTATTAAGGCTCTGAATTTTCTGTCTTTGAATCTTTTACTTTAGATTTGTTTTGGATGTCGGAAGACGTTTGAAAGAGAGGAAATCTTATCTTATATGGAATGCAGTTGGTTGTCTCGGCCTATCTGCTTTGAGTGATCTTGTCAAAGAGGTATGCCTTTTGTTGTGCACGCTTGTTTTCTTGAATGATGATTTTTGCTTGTCAATTTCGTTGATGGTTTTACTGATAAACTTAATTTTGCATTTAGACAATAGTGCCTAGCATAATCCAATGTGGGACTTTTCGGGGTGATCCAGATTTTTTTTTATTTTGAAGGCTGTGATTAGTCCAAAGGGCGAGTCACAGGCAGATTTCTCGGTTATCAAAATAAAATAAAATAGTGCTAGCATATCTTCAACAAACTACCCCACCCCTCCCCAAATAAAGTTAATAAATAAGTTCATCTTTTTGTCACATAGACCCACAAATTCGGATTTTTGAGTTGGTGAGGTCTAACGGATGACAAATCAAGTTCACTTTTTAAAGCTACCCTTGTCTCAAAAAAACAAATCAAGTTCACTTTTTTGTTTGGAGTAATACTTGGGTTTATTTGGAGAACTATCCTATGAAGAGCAACATTACTATTTTTTTTCAATGCAAATGATTTTTACTGTTTTAGAAGGCATTGCATTCTCGATGGGAAGCGTGAAATTTAAACCAAATGCCCTTATTAGCCTCAGAAACACTTACCATCACCTAGTTCATATACGCTAAAGCTTATGGGCCTCCCTTCTCCATGTTGGTGCCAATAATAATGGTCTTTTCATTATGTTTCTTGCTACCAGAGATTGGGCATTCTAGAATTATTTTACCCCTTGGTCTTGGCTAGATTGAGAATTATCAGTGATTGCTAAAAGGTAAAGGATGGGCCTAACTCTTAACACGATTTATTTAAGGTCTAATGTTTTTTGTAGTTTCTGATGCTCAATGTTGTAATACACTCACAGATGCCTCTTGGTGAAGCCATTTTCTCTCCTTTCAGTCTCATGGACCTTTCTTCCAAGATAGCTTCTGGTGGAACTACTTTGTGGTGTCTATTTGGATTGATTTCAATGTTTTTGCCTGTCCTTGTTGTTTTACCTCATGGTATGCACATAGCAATATATGCTGAAAATTTGCATCTTTTTCCTCTTTCTTTTTTCCCTTATGTTTTTTTTCTTATGGGAGTCAGAGGGTTGATGGAGAAGTGGAGAAAGTATTTTAGAAAGTAAGTGGGAATAACTGCTGAAGCATTAGGTGTAAGTTTTTTCATATGTGGGATCTTCTAATTCCTATTTGTCCCGTTATGCCAAACAACTCTATCAATAAGAGCTCCTAGTTTAAGTAGTGAAAATTGTTTGTGTATTAATTTGACAAATAATGGGCATTTTGTGTTTTCCCCAAATTAGCTAGAACCTCTTGCTTGCTGCCTCTCCTCTTCCCTCTTTTTTCCCCTTCTCGAGGGAGATCTTGCTTGCTGGAACCCAATTTATATGATTTTTGAGTTCTCCAATTATGAGTCAGTTGATGATGATGTTGTAAACTTTACAGGTGGATGCAATTCAGACTTGTGGCGGCCAGAAGACTGCTGATGGCAGGCGTTTCCGAACAGGTGGTGGAATATTGTGGAGCATCCTTAAAGTACGAGATCCAAATGCATACAAAGAGATAATGAAGAAAGGGAAGGAGTTTGAGGTGGGTCATAATTCTTTACGCTTTATTTAGTACTTATTTATCCCCTGTGCATGTGGCAGTTTTATTGCCCAACCTGGAAACTAGGTAGTCACCATCATTGATTACGGATTTTCCATTATCAGGATCAGTAAACATGAATATTTTTGACAATGCTGAAGGTTTTTGTTCTATCTCAAACAAACGGAAAAAAATAAATTGGGTGACCTTAAAGAAAGGAAAGAACCTTTAGTAAAGGCCTTATGGAGGTGCTTTTATATATAGTTTATTATGACTGCACTCTGCAGTATTCATTGCAAGACAAATAGAATGCAATTACCGATGCATCTCTTCTCATTGCTCCATTGAAATGCCCTCAATTTCACGCTGCCTATTTGGATATGTTAAAATTTTGAATTCAAAGTGATTATCTATATTGTGGATCACTTCCTTGAATAAAATGCATATTATTGGGAAAAATCCTCCTGCCCTTGGGTCAGCCATGGTCATTTCCTGTTGCCGAGGACAATACTTACCTCGCCCATAAAAAATGTGAATCTCTGTTTGCTGATTGCTATTTTTCTTAAGACTAATGATTTTTCCAGATTAGTATGCTGTGTTTTCTAAACAATTGCATTCATAATTTGAACTGTTGATCTGCTAGTTGCTTATTGTCCTATTGTGCGTCCCTATATTCCAGTGCTCATTAAGAACTTAATTTTGCAGAAGCAGTTTAAGCAGGCTAATCTCAAGCAAGAACTGCTCCAAAACAAAGAAGCTTCTTTGGAGAGATCTAGTCAGACAATGGGAGACGAGATTACAGCTAGTTCTTCAGATGTTTTGCTGCAGCAAGAACCTGTTGAACAGTCAAATAGTGGAGCCAAACATGCATCTGTTCATGATAGAATAAGGATGCCTGTCACGTATGATGATCTATTCGATGAAGCAACTGATGAAGGAAAGGATTCAAAGGATCCGTTGGCTTTAATAATGCCTTCAGAAAAAAGCTCATATGATGTGGTGGAGGGAGGTTATCCTAAGGGTATATAAAGTTTGCGCGAGTTACAAATTACAATCAGCTAAGACTAGGGGATTTAAGAAATGAATCAACTTGATTTTTTTGATAAAGCCTCATATTACAGCTTGTCAAGTTGAATTTCATTTGTGAACACCGTGGGCATTGTCTGCCCTTTCATTTTGCTCATCATCTTATTCTCAGTAAATACATATATGTTTGCAGCGGACAAAAGTTTTCCCAGATCTGATTAAAATTTTACGATCTTTTTCAGGATAGAAGAGAGGCAAATCATATTGCTTGCTAGCCTATAGATGGATTGTGTTTTGTCTGTAAATTCTTTTGAATGAAACTAAGCCAAATCACGGCAATAGTTATGAAGTTTTACATGGTGCCTAGAGCTCAATTCTTTTGTGATTTTACCATCGGATTTGTGATTAACAACACAACAAAATAATTTATGACATAATACACTTGACCGGTTAAAAAGATGAAAAAATTACATAAATATACAACTTAAGATGTCATAATCTCTGAAATTCCTTACCAAATATATGGTTTTCTTACTTGTACGGATTTAGGGAAGGAAAGGGGTAGGGGAATTAATGAGTATCAAAATATGTGGAGAGATGGAAAATAATGCAAGTAAATGACTACTATGTTATTTGGAAAAAATAATAACTCTTTCCTTTTTTTTAAGTGGATATTTATTTTTAGTATATAGAGGTTAATAAAATGATTTATTTTTTTTAAAAATATAAAGGTCCATAAAAATGAAATGTAGGATGCAATAATTACTTGTTATCCTACTATTTATGTATTTCCCTTTTTCTTTTAAGATAAATTTAAGTTTATTCTGTTGGAAGCGCCATCTTCGAATGCCCTGTAGTGTGCGATTTGGATTTAATCGAAGATTCAATGCAGATTTCGGACACCGGATGGAAACAAAAAAAAAGAATTATGGTAACAGATTTGAAGAATAGGAGTGGGGAACTTTCTTCCTTGTCTATTTAAGGAAGCAAAATTGCTTCTGTTGGATCCAATTTCTTGGCTTTCCCCAATCATAGTTTGATGGATGATTGTGTAGCTTATTTTCCTGAGGATATAGTGAAGGATATTTTGTTGAGGTGTCTTGTCAAGTCGTTGTTACGATTTAAATGTGCCTGCAGGAACTGATATGCTCTTATCAAAAACCCCTAAATTCATTCAACAACACTTAGAAGAAGAATCGTAGCCTCTTAATTTATGATAATGGTGACATTGATGATGATTCCTGTCCCATGACTTTGATTTCTAAAGAAAAATCCCAAACGTTCCTAGGTATGAAATACCTCATAGGTTATGTGGACGGCTTGTTCTTAATGTACATAGAAATTAATAGTGCCTTTTTGTGTGCATTGTGGAATCCTGCTACTAGGGAGGTGAGACCCCTCCATCTCCTTGCACCCATAATCAATTATTCCCCTAACTTCGGTTTGGGAATAGACCCCTTGACTAATGACTATAAAGTGGTTTAGTTTCTTGACTATGCAACAACAGTCTATTCCTGTCATAGGGACTCATGGAGAATTTCAAAAAATTGAAGGTTTCGACAAACCACCCCCATTTGACAAAGAGGTGAGACACACATATGGTACTGCTTATTTGAATGTAGTTTATTACTGGCCGCTAAGTTAGCAACCAATAATAAGCTCCATTTAAATAAGCAGTACCAAATGTATGGTTCACGTCTGTAAAGAAGGGGATTTCAAGTTTGAAAATTCTCCATGACTCCCTAGAACATGAATAAACCGATGCATAATATTCACACAAATAATTAATATGAAAGTAAACCACTTTATAATCATAAGTCGAGAGGTCCAATCCAAACCCAAACACAGGGGCATCATGGATTGTGGCTACATGGATAGGGAGATGGAGGGGTTTCACCTCCGTAGTTGTAAGGATTCGATAATGCACATGAAACATCATAATCAATTGCTCCTACCATAAAAAACAAGCCGTCCACAAAACCTAAGAGATGTTTCATACCTATGAACGTTTGTGATTTTTCTTCAGAAATCAAAGTTACGGAACAGAAATCATCATGACTTCCGGCTTATTATTGAACTTCATTTTTCACCAAAAAATCTGTAAGCTGATTTTCCTAACACAATTTTTTTTCATATTTATAGCTAGCTAGTCCTTTCTCTTAATAAAAAAATGTGTTATCTGGATATGAGAGAAACAAGAGAAATTAATCCGATTTCCAACATAAACATTGGTGTGTGTATATATATATATATATATATATTATAATTACTCAATACAAGTTACAACCTAGAATACACACAACAAAGTGATACCATATTAACTAAGGAGAGATTAAGTAATTAGAAGAGAATGAGATACAAGACCATAGAAGGGGATGATAGATACCAGATAGTCAACATAATAATTTTCATAATTGTTCTTCTAACTCCGTGTCCTTTTCAACAAATGGTAATTGAATCTCGATCCCAAATAAAACTCTCAAAAATTTTACTCTCAATCCAATATTTATAACGAAGTTAGCTTGATTCACAACATACTGTATTTTCAAAACAAGTAGAGGATTGTATACAATATCAAGGTCTCCACATTGTCTTTTGAGCACAAAGGATGCCTTCCTTAGTCATTCGTATCTTCCAGTGCAAGCTTCTCTAATGGATGAAGGGGTATGGCGGACAAGAAGGGAATATAGCCCAAAAAGAAGTGGAAGTTGTTAGTTCATACACACACCGACTGGATAGATAATACTCGAAAAGGGACTATGAGTCACCTTTTTAGAGCAATATTCAATTTTTCAGATAGAAGAATGACCATATTCAATTGTTATTAAGCTCTCCTTATAATAATAAACCCCACAACAACCATCACCAAATGCTCCATCATTTTTCAAGCGCGAATGTTGAAATCCAAGATGTCTTGTCTTGTTAGTGCGAACATTATAGGAGAACAGTCGAGAAGCTCTAGATATAAAAATGAGAGAGCTATCTTAGAAAGAGATAAAATGTGGGAAACATTGAAAGGTAATAAGTTTGTTCCAGACCGCTGGTTGGATCATTACCCATAAATCATAATGAAATCTTGGATTCATTTTCGAGTTCAAGATGGCAATGGACTCATCAAGCAACATCATACCATCTGCATATTCACGACCATCTTGGCCCTTCAATCTCTTCAAACATTTCTCTCCTGAAGTTGAATAAAAGAATGTGCTGATATGGTTCCTAGTTAGCAGCCCGTAATAATTTCCATTCAAATAAGCGTTACCATATGTGCGTTTCACGTCAACTACGGATAGTGGTTTGTGGATATCTTCAATTTTGAAAATTCTCCATGAGTCCCTACGACAGGAATAGACTGCTGCAAGGTCACACGGAAAGTGAAAAAAATTTACCACTTTAAAGTCATTAGTCAAGGGGTCTATTCCCAAACCGAAGTAAGGGTATTGATCGATCATGGGTAGAGGGTCAGGGAAGCGTCTCACCACCCTAGTAGCAGGATTCAACAATGCACATGAAAGGACACTATTCATATTTCCGTACATTAAGAACAAGCCATCCACATAACCTATGAGGTATTTCATACCTAGGAACGTTTGGGAATTTTCTTCAGAAATCAAAGTCATGGGACCACAGTAAGTCATATATTATCTATATATGTTATAGACGACACTCCTTTAATAACAAGAGATGCGTGTAGCTTAGTTGGTTTTGGCTGAAATTTCATAGATCAGGTCGTGTTCAAGAAAGAATCTTGAATGAAAGTCATCTACTTTGAATGAAATTATTTTGAATACATTTCACAAAAAAAAAACTCATTGAAAAGAATTATAATATATTTTTATTTTATTTTTTAGAAAAGATTAATAATATACATGAATTGTGTTTTATAATTTATATACAAAAATTTAATATTTATTTTTCTCATTTTAAAAGTGACACCGTTTAAAAAAAAATCCTGCGTACGCCACTATGTGCATGGAAGCCACTCCTAGCCTTGTATGCTTATTTTAAAGCTGGATTTGCATTACCCACTACATAGGTGCATGGAGGCCACTCCTAGTTTTTTGTTGGAGACATGACATAAACCCTGTTGGGAAAAGCTGGATGTGGAAGATGGAATGCTTTTACATTATATAATATAGTAGGGGTGTGCAAAAACCGAACAGAAAAAAATGTTATTGGATTAACGGGTTTTATAAAGAAAATTATTGAGTTATCGATTTTTAGTATCCAATAACCCAATAAGACGATAGTAAGTTACTACTATATATAACCTTCCCTTCATAAATATTAAATACTGTATTAATAATTTAACATAAATAGACATTATATAAGATAAGTTACACACAACGTACAACAGAAAATTAAAAATGTCTGGAATTTACTTGTTTTTGATAATGTTCATTAGATTAACAAGTTGTCAAAGTGATTTTAATCACCTGGCTTTTGTCATACAGTGGCCTCCCACCCTATGTGGGTATTCGGGAGTTCACTGTAAACCGTCGATCAACACACAGAGGTTTACTATGCATGGCATCTCCAATTTTAATGACTAGCTAATATAATATGTGAGAACTAATTAATAATAATTAAAATAGACATTAAACGCATGAACAAACAAAATCAAAGAAAGAGTGGGATCGGAATAATTAACAAGTTTGTATTGTTGCTGCCAAATTCATAAACCCATGCATCCAAGTTTACCATTTAATTAACCTTTTAAAGTATATTTCTTAAAAGCTTAATTTCCAAACACACACACACACATATATATATATTCTTTCTTTGCAAATAATATTAATCAACTTTTTACTTACATATGCATTTAAGATTCTGATACAAACGTGGCACAAAATTCAATCCCTTGCCTTAATTATATATTTTATGGCCACACTAACAAGTTCTCAAATTATTAATTGGTGTTGAATCTTATTTTTTACAATCATTCATGATGCATGCATGTTTTAAAATAGCAACCGTACGTACGTGCATATTTAATTTGGTACTCAGTTTTGACTTTTAACTTATGATTCAGTGCAAACAAAAGTAGTACTACTTAGTATTTTTATTAATTATATCGGAGAGTAAAACTTATGTTGAATTTTCATGAAAAGGGGAAAAAGGAAGGAAGATTTACATTTGATATAAGTAAATTTTGACTATATATATATATATATATATATATTGCATTCAATTTCTTTTACACCATCAATGGAGAATGTTTATTTAAAGAAAAATAGTACTCATATGCTATATATATATATATATAATGTGATTACATTCATTTCCTTTTACACTGTCATGGGAGAATGTTTATTTATAGAAAACATTTTACAATCATACTATATATAATATAACAACCTTCAATTTCTTTTAGACAATAGTTGGAGAATTTTTTTTTTTAAAAATAAAAATAAAAATAAAAATAAAATAGTTATACTAATTCAATTTCATTTTAGACGGTCGTTAGAGAATGTACTCTTTTAAAGAAAAATATATAAATAATAACTGCATTCAATTTCTTTTAGACTGTTATTGGTGAATGTTTATTTGTGTGTGTGGAACAGGCCCAACAGAAGTGTATATATCTGATACATAGTGATCTGGAAGTTTTTGATGCATAAAAGTTTGGCCCAAGATTTATTATGTGGGCTATTTATTTGTAAAATTATACTATATGGATATGAGAGAAACAAGAGAGTACTATGAAACAAATTAATCCTATTTTTCCAACACAAACACTGATATATATTATAATTACTGAATACAAGTTATTAACCTAGAATAAGTTATAACATATTAACTAAGGATAGATTAACAGAGAAAGAAGTAATCATAAGAGGATGAGATACAATACCATAGAAGGGGATGAGATACAATACAATAGCATGAGAAAATGTGGATAGATATTGCAATTACGAACACTTTATGCAAACTATGAAATTGAGTGAACATAATTAAAACAATACTAGCACTTCAGTTAATGGTCCAACTCTTGTTGTTTAATTGTTATTAAGCTTTTCTTATAATAATAAACCCCACAACCACCATCACCATATGTTGCACCATCTTTCAAGCGCGAATAATGAAATCCAAGATGTCTTGTCTTGTTAGTCCGAACATTATAGGAGAACAGTCGAGAAGCTCTAGTTACAAAAATGAGAGAGCTATCATAGCAAGAGATAATAACTGGGAAACATTGAAAGGTAATAAGTCTGTTCCAAACCCCTGGTTGGATCATTACCCATATATCATAATAAAAAAATTTCTCCACTTTTGAGGAGGTGTTCAAGATGGCAATGGAATCATCAAAAAAAACTAAAGGATGTTCACTACTATCTAGATCTGGCCCTTCAATCTCTTCAAACATTTCTCTCCCAAAATTGAATAAAAGAATGGTGCTGATATTGTTATTAATTAGCAGCCAGTAATAATTTCCATTCAAATAAGCAGTACCATATGTGCGTCTCACCTCTTTGTCAAATGGGGGTGGTTTGTCGAAATCTTCAATTTTGAAAACTCTCCATGAGTCCCTACGACACGAATAGACTGCTGCTTCATAGTCAAGAAAGTAAACAACTTTATAATCATTAGTCAAGAGGTCTATTCCCAAACCGAAGTTAGGAGAGTACTCGAATATGGGAGAATCCATTATGGGTGATGGGAAATGGAGTGGTCTCACCTCCCTAGTAGCAGGATTCCACAATGCACAAGAAATGGCACTATTAATTTATCCGTACATTAAGAACAAGCCGTCCACATAACCTATGAGGTATTGCATACCTAGGAACGTTTGGGAATTTTCTTCAGAAATCAAAGTCATGGGACCACAGTAATCATCATCATCATCACCATTATCATAATCATAAATCAAGTGATTTGGTGACCTACAATTCTTCTTCAAGTGTTGTTGAACGAAATCAGGGGTTTTGATAAGGACATACCAATTCTTGCAGACACATTTGAATCGCAACATCGACTTGACAGGACACCTCAACAAAATCTCATTCACTATATCCTCAGGAAAATTAGCTACATAATCATCCATCAAACTATTATTAGGGAAAGCCAAGAAATTGAAAACAACAGAAGCAATTCTGCTTCCTTAAATAAACAAGGAAGAAAGTTCCTCATTCCTATCCTTCAGATCTGTTACAATAGTTAATTTTACTGCCATTAAATTTTTTTCTAAATTTATCTTTAAAGAAAAAGGAAAATACATAAATAGTAGCCATCCCACATTTCATTTTTATGGACCTTTATATTTTAAAAAGTAAATCATTTTATTGACCTCTATATTGTATACTAAAAATAAATGTCCACTTTTTAAAAAACAAAAACAAAGAGTTACTATTATTTTTTCCAAACATGATGGTAGTACATTATTTTCCAGTCCAATTTTGAAGGATATCCCATTCTAATCTTGACAAGTGTTTTATTTATTATAGTCTCTTCACATATTTTGATACTCATTAATTTCCCTACCAACATTTATTTGGTAAGAAAATTTTAAAAATTATGATATCTTAAGTTGTATATTTATATAATTTTTCCATCTTTTTAACGGGTTAAGAGTATTATGTCATAAATTATTTTGTTGTATTGTGTTGTTAATCACAAATCTGATGGTAAAATCACAAAAGAATTGAACATTTTTTCAAGTTATCATTATTTTGGTTATCAAAACATCCAGAAGCTCTATAGTGGCTAGCAAGCAATATGATTTGAAGAACTGGCTGTAACATAGTAGTAGAAGATGAAGAAGAATGACACTAATAAGGAAATTAAACAATGTTGATCGCTTACTAACCTTCTACTCTAATTGTCGACTTCCTGTCATTACTATCAAATTTGTGATTAATAACACAACAAAATAGTTTGTGAAACCACACCACAGTATAAGATTCACATAATATACTCTTAACATGTAAAACAGATTTCAATTTATGCACAAATATACCAGTAGTCAATCAATGGTAAGAGCAAAAATATATGACTTGCACACTACTTGCTAGAAAACACTCCAACAATGAATTAATTCTTTGGTATACATTTCCGAACTCACAACCCACAACGTCTAAATTCTGGATCCACGACTATTTCTTTTGAAATATGTGAAGAGGGAGGCCAAGAAACACAATTGTTGGCAAGAATGGCACTGTGTTACTCGAGTATAGATAATATTGTATAGATAACCAGCAGATCTTGCAGGAAAATGACAGTAATCTGTAGTCCAAATAATCAGATGACTTGCATCTAAGCATTCATCAAGGTCTCCACATTGTCTTTTGAGCACAAAGGATGCCTTCCTTATCTTTGGCGAAAGTCATTCGTATCTCCCAGTGCAAGCTTCTCAATATTTTCTCTAATGGATCAAGTATTTCGACCTTGTCACGTATGATTCCCCAGCCACCAGGCCGTAATATACGGTCCATCTCAACCACAATCACAATGGGATGCTTGCACCTGCAGTGAATGAACAACTTAATTAGCTATGAAGAAAATTTGAAGTCTGGAAATGGAAAGTTTCAAACTTGACAGACCACCTCCAGAGGTCGGAAGAAGATTTTTGGAAGCCACGGTAACCATTGCTGAAAGGGGTATGAGGGACAAGAAGGGAATATAGCCCAAAAAGAGGTGGAAGCTGTTCGTTCATACACACCGACTGGATAGATAATACTCGAAAAGAGACTATGAGTCACCTTTTTAAAGCAATATTCTTTTTTTCAGATAGAAGAATGGCCATAAGTAGACCTGAACTGAACAAGTACGTCCGACTTTTCGTCTTGATTCATAATCAAGAAAGACAGGATCATCCATATATTTTATGAGGGGAAAACTGAAACAAAGGAACAAATAAAGGAGAAAAGGTCATGTAACCTGTTCTTAAGCCTTGAGAAGAGATGATCTGCATGTAGAAGGTCGTATGATCTTGGATAAGTACCAAAAGCCTCACACCAATCGTGGTACACGCCAATAAGTCCTCTTTCAAAGACTACGGGAAGGGTGTTTGGTGCATGTACAGGAATAACATTCATCACCCACACCTTCTGCTGTGCAAGAGCTGCTGCAAATCTGTGTATATTTTTCTCAGTTGTTAGCATCCTTGCTGAGGCACAATATTACAATTAAAAGAGGAGGGAGAGCCAATAACATTTTAATGTTTGAGACTCTTTCATCAGATTAACCAAAGATAGGGGCTTACCCTCCATTGATGGCTTTCATATCCATTACATTCCGAATGTTGGACCAATCAATACCCAAGCCAACTAGATAAGAATGGTCAACAATAGCTTTCCAGTGCTCACTGTCTGCGATCAATTTCTCTCTATTGTTCATCCAGTCGGGATAAGTTTCAAGTCTCTTTGGCCACTCCTCAGGCCATTCGGTTCCTCGTTGTTCTATGGATTCAGGAATTGTGTGCAAGCAAGATTTAATCGGCACATACCTGTTGCGGATAAGGTAATTGGAATTTAACATTTGAGAGGATAAAGAAAGAAGCATGACAATTTTAGAACTAATGTGTCTTTGACTCGTGGTTTATCATAAATCATGCTTGTTCTACCACTTCTGAGAGAGTTGTAGCTTATTTGTGTGATGACATACAAATATACAATGATGGAGTTGTGCACTTATTTTCCCAAGATTACTCGTCCATGTGCAGTAGCGGAAGTATGTGCAAAGGAAATGCAAATTGACTGAAAAGAGCAAAAGAGAGAAAAGTATAACAACACAAGCTTTTCCAACTCACCAGGATGCATCTGGGTTCTCATTTGCTTTGCATAGAGGTGGAACTTTTTTCCTTCTCAATTGGTATATGTCATTTGCTTGTGGTTTTTGGTATAACTTAATCCTGATATCACTGATTTCATCAGTTTTATCAGCGAGGATGTTCCAACAGATTGATGCTGTCAACGTGGACATAGCTGGAGAAGAAGGTTGATGTTATGAGCATGAGTACTTTACAAAAAGGCATTCGTAAATACACGCTGAAAAGAAAATTAAAGCACGCAAAATTGAATATCTTAAAAAGGATGAAATCAAAATGATAGCTCGTCTTTCAAGTTTCACAAAGGAAAAAGACTTGATAACAATGCAAGACAATTTCAAGCTACAAGCCAAAAAATGATCCATCCATCCAAATCGAGAGTTTCTTTAGTGAAAATAACATGAATTCTGTAGCAGATCATTTGGGAGTGTATGAGAATATCAGATAGTCCACATTAGCAAAAACAAGAAGCTTGACATTGAATGAGAAATTAGAAGGGATGATTTCGTTATATCCATGACAGTGGAGGGCAAGTGTCCACTGTGGAATGTTTTTTCTGTAGGAAGATAAGGTCCGCTAAAGGAGTTGTCATCATTCAGGAAAGTATTTATTCATTAGACAAAATAAAATAACGTGCAAAAGTGTAACGAAATAGCTATTTTCATCAAAGAAAGAAGAAAAACAGAAGCCGTTTTCCTTTAACATAAATAAAGGACAAACCTTCTTCAACTTCAATGCTACTGTGCTTTGAAGACAAAATAAAATAACCTCCAGGCCTCAAAATTCTGTTCATCTCCATAAGATGCTTTCCTCCTGAAAGTAAACTTAATTAAATCTCCTGATATCACAGAAAAAGAAACATAAAACAAGAAAAAAAATCTCTAGCAATAACTTAACACTAACCATTAGAATGCCAAGATGCATGGCAATCATTACAGTGAATAGCATCAAAGACACCACTAGGAAAGGGAAGCCTCCGAGTTCCGAATGGGGTAACTACTGCTGGAAAACCACGCTCAAGTGCAACTTGTGCTAGATCCACAAGGTCATCTTTTAAGCCTAGAGTAAGTGTTAACACATCTTTTTCAAGTAGAGAAGCCCCAAAGCTTGAATCTTCACATCCAATATCCAGCACAACACGGATATTCTTCCCCCATTCAATGTCTGGTACCATCTACCAATCTCCAATATCAATTCACACATCAAACACAAGGAGAGACTTTGCAAGTAGCATTCAACTGACAACTAAATAAGTAAATAATCATACTACAGTTAGCAGTATTATTTCAAATCAGCCAGGCATACACCTAGTGTTTGAATCTAGCAACTTCAGTAAGAGAAAGATAATTAACAAGGAGTTAATCAATTCCAAATCAACTACAACCAGAAATCGCACCAGCATTACTGCGTGGTGAAGACAAGTCATCTTTCATCTTCTCTACAAAGGAAAGAGATCATAGTACAAGAGTAAAGCAGCTCAAGATGCTTCTTGTGTCAGGAGAATGCAGAAAATAATAGCCATCTGTTTTTACATTACTGATCAGCTTTGGCAGATTTTCAAGCATGACTGGTTTGAATTAGCTCATGCCAGAGTCTACAATTGAATTAGTGAAATGCTGTAAAAAGGTGGGATGTAGGGGAAAGCAGAAGAAATGGTGGAACTCCATCCCAGCTTGTTTATGATCCACTAAATGGGAAGTGAGAAATGCTAGGTAATTTTTTAAGACAATAGTAACTCTACACAGAGCATTAAGATGGACCGTATATAGTCTTTGTATTTTGATGCAAAGGAAAATATATACATATGATTTATGAAGATTCATAGACAATCGTTAGACCTTTCAGCACTGCAATTGTTAGAGAAACAAACAAAGAGTCAATAAAAGGGACTCACCTCTTCTATGAAATCTAGGTAGTGTTGAATTCCACCTTTGGGTATAGATTGGTTCGTCGGAAAAGTGAGATAATCTCCAGACTCCACCACCCAGCTCCCTTTCTTAACAAATGCCTCTAGTTTCAGGTGTGCCACATTTTTATAAAGTATCTGTAAATATTATGAATTTAATATAAGAAAGAACAGATAAAGCTGAATTTACTGAAGATGAGCTTGACTCCTCATACCTTTGACTTACTCTCAGGCCAGCTTACTGGAGTCTCATAACCACCAGGAGGAAGGGGAACAAGACACATTTGAGGTGCTTTAGGACAACTTCTTTCGTGATGCCGATAATTCTGCAACTTTCCACTGGCACTTTCAAAGTCAATGCAAGGAATGTAATTGTGCTTGCTTCTAGTGCTACATAAATTCCAAGTATAATGTGCTTTTGGATCAAATAATGGTCCTAAATTCTTATCCTTCTTCCCATTATCTTTAGCTTTCTCATCCTCATCCTCCACTTTCTCAGCAGACTCTTGATCCAACTCCTCAGTATTAGCTAATTCACCATTACCTTCATTACCATCTACTGTTCCTTCTCCTTCTCCTTCTTCTTCTTTATTACTTTCTATTTCCTCTTTCTCAGTCTCTTTACCATCCACTCCTTCTCCTTCTTGTTTACTATTATTTTCTGTTTTTTCTTTCTCATTCTCTTTAACTTCAACTACTTTTTTCTCTTCTTCTTGCTTATCATTTCCTATTTTCTCTTCCTCATTCTCCTTCTCCAACACATCAGTTTCAGATCCTTCCAATTCTTGTTCCTTTACCTCATCAGCCTTTTTTGGTAACTTCAGATCCTCACCCTTTCTCTTCCTATCAACTCCACTTTTATCATTCTTATGCCAACCACCAGATTTTGAAGGCAAAGAAGACCTATCAACCCTTTTCTTTTTCTCACCAGAACTTGATCTATGTTTCAATTTCTTATTATGGGGTTGTTCTTTCTTGGTTGAAGGAACCAAAGATGTAACCTTTTTCCTATTTGCAGATGAGATAGGTTCTCTAATATCATCAAAAGTGTCCCTTTGATAGGCTACTGAATAAGAAGAAGGTGAAAACACAGACCAAATGAATACAAAACAAAGACCCAAAATTACTACTGCAGCTAACTTAACACCAAGACCATAAGATTGATATGAACCTTTTACCTTTCTCCCAAATCTTGTTAAAGCTGTGTTGTGCTTCCTCATTTCAAACTCAAACAAAAATCTGAGACATACCCAGAAATCAGAATTCCATAAAAACAAGAAAAGCAACAATCTTTTTTTACCCCAAAACAATAATCTTGGCAGCTCAAGAGAGAATTGACAGTGAAGTGATGTTCTAACTAAAGAAACTTAAGTAAAAGTCAAGATTTATTAGTAGATTTAAAAATTGTTCTCTTTTTGGCTGTCACTATATATATGTATCCACATTGGATTGGTTTTCCATCGGATCCCAGATTGGGGGTAAAACGCTCTCTAACAAAGATGACTTCGTATCCAAGGAGGCTCGAATCCGAGACTTTTTGGTTAAGGATGAAGGAGTATTTACCACTTCATTACAACCCTTGTTGGTGCTGTCACTATATATATATATATATATGAGTTTAATTTTAACATAAAGATTAGATTACCCTAGTTTAGAATGTAATTTCAAAGAGAGAAGGAGCAGACAAGTATTGTTGGAATGTCTGATTCTTCCTTGCGATGAGAGCTTAGTATATCGAACTATCTTTTATCAAGTCTTTTAGTTCAAGCTTATTAGTTTTTGATCCTTGTTTGGATTGACTATTACATAAGTTTGAATATAATTATGTAAGAGATTTACATAATATAAGGAAGTGTCTTTGAAATTTCTTGAGATTTTTATCATCATATTTCCCTAATTCGAGTTTATTATCAAAATGAGTCATATTTTTCAGTCTTTATTCAAGTTTGACCATATTGTACAAATTTGAATCCTATTGAGAGACTTACTGAAAAATTATTGAAAACCAATAAAATCTCTCGTATGTCTTTTATTGGACATCGAAAAATAAAAAATGGTGAATATATATTCAAAATAAAGATGTGTTTATAAAATTTACTTTATTTAAGAGTATCAAATTGTTCATTCCATTTTTATCTATAGATATAATGCGAAAATTTATTCAAACCATGTTCAAAATTTTCATTAAGTGTTACTTTAATCATTTAATATATCTGAAGAGTTTGATAAATGATATTTTGGTAATTATGGCTAACTAAAAAAATAGTTTGGCGAGAGTTACCCATAAAATGAAGTCATTTAAAAACTTTAATCATGTTAATTAGGATAAAAGATATCACTTATTTCAACAATAAACTCGGTGTAACTCCACGAGTGGGTTTGAAGAGTAGTATGTACGTAAACTTTGCCCCGAGGTACGAGGGCCTAATAATATTGCAAGAAAGTTCTTGAGACATAAATAACACACATGGAAACTGATGAGATTCCAGTAAATGAACTTTGTATGTCTCAAACTCTAGCAATACACTGCATTACAATTTACAATCCAAACCAAATTTCTTTCTTGTTGAATTTGCAGCCTATTCCTCTGTATATAGGGCCATACTATCTACCCGAATTCGCGCTCTACGGGACCAGTCTAATCTAAGTTTAAATAGTAATACAAAAATACTAGTATCAGGATATGCTAGAATAGAGAAACTATACATTTAACATGTTGCTATACTTGAGGTAGCTATTGAGAAGTCTTATAAGATAGTCAGAGGGCCTGGAGCAGCTGAGTTGAGGAATTCTGTTCAGCTGAAAAATCTTGTGAAGAATTCATGTTCACCTTTATCCTGAAAAGAGTAAGTTCATAATTACAACCCCATCAGTTCACAATTACATAAACGCGAAAAGCTCTAAGAGGGCTCCAGTCTCTAGGTCTATTGGGGCTTTAAGCGCAATTGAAATGTGGGCTTTAGTAAAAAAAAAAAAAGGTGCAATGTAGATGCCGAACCTGCTGTGCCCCATTGACTTCTAAGGAGAAATATATGTAATTCAAGAAAGTAACAGATTAATTCATAATGTTCTCCTTAGCAACTAGTAATACACTTAATTGCCAATAATATTTCGGTACGCCTTCAGGATAGAACTCATGGTCAATGAGGAGTACGCCTTAGTGCCTTACCTATACCAAACACGCTTAAATGAGACCCAGGGCTTAAACGCGCTTAAATGAGCCTTTGACAACACTAACCCTTTATAAGGACAGAGGCTAATATTGTCAAGTGCAAGTGGGCAACAACACCTTCACAGTCCCACAAAGGGGAGAAAACCTTCGCACATGCTCAGTCACTCTCCTTCCCTCCTATTTTCTTTAGGAGGGGCAGCAATCGATTAAGAATGATCTCTAATAGTACTGAAGAGCACAGAACTAGTTCTTTAGCTAAAAGAGATTTACATGCCAATACTAGACTAAATGGAGTATAAACTGGCACTGCTAGACAGACAATACCTGTTATGAATGTTGACATATTCATCGGTTTCATCCAATATCTCCTCCTGCCGTAAAGAAATGCAAAATGAGAAAGTAATACACAGAGAGGTTTGGCTAGATTCTTAAGAACGATATGGAAGTGCATAACTATGTAACAGAGTAAAAATGTGTTGTACATATTCCTGTCTCTGGGGTGGAGGTGGGGGGGGGGGGGGTCTACAATGAAAACAATACCACAAAAAGGACAAACAGATATTAATGAAAGTCAGAATCTTGTGCACCTGAAGAAGCTCCTCAATGACATCCTCCATAGTAATAACACCAACAACTTCTTGATTGGAAGGGATCTCTGGTATTGGAGTGTTTTCCAAATCCAAAATACAAAATGAGCAACCTTTGTGTCTCTTCTTAAAAGCAGGAGTAGGGGGAGGAGATTTCTTTGGGACTTGGTCGTCATCAGCCTTATGTAATGCAGTCTTAATGTCATGCGAGTTGGCTTTTAGTGTTGTGCTATCAGCATCTGCAATTATCAGTTCATACAACACTTAAAAGTTGGCCAAAATCGTAAATTCATCAATTTAAGAAAACTGACGAGTTTAATCACTAAGGATCTATTTGCTTCATTTTATGAAATAGAGGTAATTACAAGATATGAAGGACTTGGAGAGAGTTGATTAGAAGCCCATTTAGCACAAACTGAATAAAAAGTTAAATTGGACATTGCAGTGCAAAGACGTTTAAGACTCGCAGTAATGATTTAACAGAAAAACTAGGATAAGTAGCTATATGGTAGAACCAAGAGTAGTTCAAGGTTTCAGACCTTTATCATTCACTGGCATATCTTTTGTCTCGTTCAGATCTTTATATACAACAGCAATGTGGCTATGGCCCTTCTGAAATTCATTCAAAATGTCATACAGAGGCATGTTTTCAGAAACCCTGAAAAAATACCAATGCTGCGCAATTAGCTGAAGAAGAAGCATTGCGTGCTAACTATTATCTTATTCAACTGTGTTTTTTTCTTCTACAAATATGTCACTCATATTACAGTTTGTACAAACTAAACTGCAGATCTATGAAAAGGTTGCGGATATCTAGGAACTACTTCATAATAATCGAAATTCAGAACCTTAGAATTCATTATTTGGATAGCTACAGGAAGTTATCTTGTGTAGAGAAAGCACAGAAGGATAATTGGATCAGTCAGAAGGCTATAATAGAAGTCTGATAGCCTTCTATTGTAGATGATAAATAAATTTTGAAATGAAGTTTGACGTGTAAAACCATGACGGATGAACTATATGAGACGAAATCAACTACTTCCCCTACTCTAGTTAGATGCAGGTGAATTGTACAAGTGAAAGGGCCATGGTGGAAGCTAAACCAATTGCTAACCCATGGCACCCTTGGTCAATTAGTTTCAGTAACCTTTAAATTGTTGTGTTTAAAGAAGAGATTAAATAGTTGCATCAGTGAATGGGAGCTGGATTTCTTAAACATTACATGATATTATAGATCATTGCAATTTGCAAGTAAGGCAAAATGGATGCTAACCTGTAAAGTTGTAAGGTTATATAACGAAGAAACCATGGTACAATAGTGAAGTGCAGAAAACTATTACAACCCAGGGAGAACCACACCCCAAAAGCTAGTTATTGAGGTGGGGTAGCCCAAGGCTATATAAACCCCTACAACCCAGGGAGAACCACACCCCTAAAGCTAGTTATTGAGGTAGGGGAGCCCAAGGCTATATAAGCCCTTACAACCTAGGGAGAACCACACCCCAAAAGCTAGTTACTGAGGTGGGGGAGACCAAGGCTATATAAACCCCACCTCAGCACATAGTAGTATCGATGTGGGACTGGACCATAACAAATCAACCATGCTCCGCATCGGTCATCCTTGATAATGGCGCACTAGACAATACTAGCCCCGGGCAAACTTTGCCATACTGGCGTCACCATCCAAGGCATGATGGGCACACAGGGTGGTGGGTGGCAACTCAAGGAAAACCGCACGCCAAAAGCAGATTTTAAGGTGGGAGAGCCCAAGGCCGGCTATATGAACCCCATCTCAGCACATAGTAGTACTGATGTGGGACTGGCCCATCACGAAAACATTGATGCAATTATAATTCAATTGTTTAAATTAGCTTTACTTTCTTTTTCTGAGTATCCCATAACTGTTGCCCTTGAACCAATAAGTTCTGTTTAGGTGAGCTTGCTGGGGCATAGTTAATTGATTGGTTATAAACATAAACATTTAGGAAAGGGAAGAATTGCTGCAGTTATCCTTACCTCGGAATTTTTCTTATCAACATTTTCCTCAGGGGGACTGAATTTTCTTCTGAGTGAACCGCCAAAAGATTTTTAACCTACCCGCAAAATATTTGAAGACAAGTACAGAGAGCATGGAACACAATATCAGTAAGTTACAGATACACATGCTTGCAGAAGTAACACAGCAAAAGAAACAAGAACTCTTGATAAATGATGTTGACAATCAAACTTCAACACAATAAGTGAATCCACAACAAGGTAAAAATTGAGTTCAGCATGGATGAAACATTATTACCAAAATTAGTCCTATAATATTTGTCGACTTTCTGTAGTAAACAGGAACTCTGCTATGCCCCATTGTCATTATAGCATTTAGTGTTTCCCTGCATGAGAGAGAGAGAGAGAGGGAGATAGACGTGTTATAGAACATAAAAAGTTTATGAAAGCTTGAAATCAAATTGAACAGCAACTTATTAACCCACAAGTTAAGTGTTCCGTCCAGATCAAGAGAAAAAGCCTTTGATATTGGAGTCATCGCATCTTTTGCAGTTTTTTCTGTCAACTCCAGTGCTCCAGCAATTATTGTTGTTTCATCATGTGTCAAATCCCCTCCTTTTCCAGCCTGTCATAGCAATAAGAAGCAAACAAGCTGAGGC